GTCATTGCAGTAAAAATTCTGCTTAATTAATTATGTGAAGAGAAACAAGTATCGTGTCAATATTCAATTCTCTTGACTAACCTACGAAATAAATTTTCTTTAAAACTGTTTCTATACTCAACACGTGTACAGAGCTAATTTTTCTGGATTAATGCTGTAACATTTGTGATCAGGAAGTGACGCTGTTAATGTTGTACCTTGGCTATTCAACCATACATACCAAAGGGTCTACCGCAGAGGCAAATCGACACTGTGTGAACATTTCGAAAAGTAGAATGCTTGGAGTGGAACATTTTTTGTAAGGTGCACCCCAATAAACATTAGAAAATTTGTATGTAGCCTAGTTTCTCATTTAATTTTCGTTCTTCAGCTCTCGCATTTTTTAAATTTTGCAAATTTGCATATGTAGGTATCCACAATGAATAAGAAAAATTTTGATGTGCAACTAATTTCCAGCTTTGCATAGTTCTCGAGTAAGTGTGTATTTGAGATCAGAAACCAATGGAATTATCATTAGCATACACAGCCGTCTTTCCTTCCAACTGTAGTATACAACTCATAGGTCACGACGTATAGGCGACACGCACAGCTACTACAAGTGAACAGGGTATGATACAATCGATATAAGTGCTTTTCAGAATGGATCTAACCGACTGAAACTGTTCTGACACATATCACAGAGCTTTCACAGCTTTCCCCTCTTCATCAATTTTTAAAGTTACTCGTATTATCATTTTCTATATAAGCCTTATTTTAAGCCGAGCAAAGCAAACACAAAACATTGAACTCCATAAAATATTATTTGATGCAACGCTTGATCAAGAGCGGAGCTTACTTTGGTTATTATGGGGAAAAGGGCGACCACCACTCCTGTAATACTCAAAGTAATCATGTGCATTCAGCAGAAAATAAAGTATCGCTACAGTCGTTCTCCGTTTTGATGAACGTGACCAATGTCACTTTTGAAGTTCTGTAATACGGCTGATCACCGAATAGATTGCTTCAATCCGTTCGCGATTCTTTATAATTCTCATTCCTTTCGATTACAATTTCCGCCCAAACATAGCATCCATGGTAATGAGTGCTGTGAAGGAACAACACTGCAGTTAGTAGGAGTCGACTATCGATTCCGTTGATCTTGATACCTGAGTATGAACTTGGCGGTTTTGATACCATTATTTGAGGTTGATTTTTAACCAATTGTTTAAAAGGTACGCTTCTGTTGGGATTCGGATGTTGTTTTTGATTTCACGCCCCAGATCGGTGCAAAATCCAGATAGATGCATCTCATGGCTGGAGCTGGTTAATTGAATAATCAATTACCAGAAGAAGGCTTTTAGAGGGGTGCAGTGTTGATGCGACGAGGTGGGCAAAAAGGGTCAAAGTTGCCAGGCATCGTCTCCCCACTACTATTTCCACTTCTCTCTTCTGCTTCTGATGTTAAGGACTCCAAGCCGAGAGCAATCTAACATCTGTAGTGCCTGCGGGCTGCGGCTACGTGTTGTTGTTGGACGATCACGGAGATTGTAACAGGTTGAAACATTTTGTGCCATTAGGTTTCGGGGGTAACACTTAGTCCAATGTCGGAAGGGTAATTTACAATGGCCCTTTCCATTGTTTACGCTAGTAACTGTTTGCTGCCTGAACTGCATTCCAGTTTGCTTTCCTCTACATCACTAAATCTTTTTTCAAATATTCTTCAACTTTGTTTAACCCTATATTTAGTCTCTCGGTTTTATCTTCTGCGATATAGTTTACAGTAAAATGGCAACTTGACATGGATCCTAAAACTACTCATACTCCAGGCCACAATGAAGATGTTTCCCATTATTTAGGATGCACTCAAAATGTTGTATGAATAAACGGTGTTCTGCTCTGCATTTAGGATTTACGGTAAAAATGGATAAAAAACGGGTCCGATCTTCGACTTACAAAGACTGTATTACCTAGACGAACAAATACATATCACGTCTAGGTAAACACTTTCTCTCTGGGCCAATATAGAAGAAATATAATTGCCTATTACGGAAATATCATCGTTGTACTGCTCGCGAATCGCGAATCTCATGTTGACGTAAGGTATTTATGAATAGTCATAATAATTATTATTAGTGTGTATGTCTATTATAATGGAGAAACGACATAATTGATATAACAAAGAATGGGGATATATTTGATTATTGTTTCAATTTCGAGATACTTTGGAAATTATTATAGTGATCGTGTTGTGGCTGAATGGTTGATTTTTCTTGAACCCCCTTGTCTTTGCCGACATAGATATATTTAGGAGTGATTCAGGAACCGAAAATCCTAGTCAAATGTCCAAAAACAATACATAGTATAATAGTGTCACGTTTTAAAATAACCAGCTGTATTGAGGTGTGGTGAAATGGATTGTAGATTCGAAAGTATTTATAATTATTATGATGTAACTAAATAATAGGTAAGTTTCTCCGTAATTATTGATTTCACAAAGGTCATTAGAGTCAGCTTTATTTCGAGTTGTAGTATCTTTATCAGACCCTGCTAAGAAATATGTTAATTTTGGCTGCAGCCGACGGCAACTTTAGCAATTATACATTTTACTTAAATTATACCTTAAAAACATATGAAGCGACAGCAACGTTTCCAGATGGTCGGTAATGTCGGTAGGGTAGGCGATACACTTCTAGATCGCAACGCTGTCAAACATGTGGGAGCTATGGACTTATTCTATGAGTCTGTTTTCCTGTCTTGATCCATTTAATTCTTTTAGTATACATCCTCCTAGCTAACTTCTTTCGGAGAGGAGCTAACTTGTGCCGTACATAATCCTTTATGATAGCACGACAGGGTTGAGAGGGAAGTGCAGTCATCCTTCTTGACGTCATGAATACTTGTATCTTTTTAATTTATGAAGTTTAATACGCAATATATCAAACTTGGTTGTATTTTGCTTCTATGGTAAATTTGTGATACCAGAAATGATGAATTAGGTGAAGCCGGCCCTCAACTTGTAAGACTAATAATGTAGATTGTGTAATTTGCTTTAGCGCAGTATATGTGGGCACTGTTGGCATAATAATTTTACCTGCTTCTATTCGGACAAAAGCATCTGAACATTTCTTTGAGCTCCGATATTCTTATCTGCGAATAAGTTAATATTGTTGCGATAATTTTGCAGAGCTGATTATTGTAGGGGTCAAGTAAAAATCGACGTTCGTCATGCATCAGTTTAGTACCGAAATATCTACAGGCTGATACAAAAAACAATCACACTATCCCCAGGGCAGAAACTAAGTGCAAAAATAGCATGAAAAGTTCAAATGGTCATGGCCTTTACCGCGATACGGGGGCTTAAAGTCATGAACAAATTATATTTCCTGATTGGATATTGTGTAGCCATCCTATGACACAAAAGCTTAGAGGTGAAACCTTACGGGCCGCTGTTCCAATCTCCAAATAATATTTGCCTTCCTGGAAAGACTCTGAAATCTTACTTGTGATGTGATTACACATTATATGTGTATGGTTTCACACACTTCAACTACCAAATCCAAACTTTTAGAGTGAACGTGTAGACTGACATTCACTCTGTACTTGAATCCTTTGAGGACTGCCACAAACATGTACTCGTTGCGTTACAAAGCCCTTTTATTAAATGCACACCCCTTGTGGGCGGAAGAGCAATTATATGGAGAAACTAATAGAAAGACAACATATATGCGCATATGTATGTGCCACCTACAAAAAGGAAATTTGTAATTTCCGCGGGAGTACATACATGTTAATTTTACCTCGGGGGTTTAAGTTATTCATCATAAAAAAACATGTTTTTTCACAAACGTTGGTGTATATGTCTGTCTGTTTTGTCTATCAGACGGTTTATTATGAATGTTATAGCATTGAAGATACACAAATGTTCTTAAAACTTTATTTGGGCAACTCCGCCGAGTCCCGTTACTTGATTACAAACTTAGTTACAAACAGTAAAATGACATGACGGAGTCAAACCGGGTTATAAACATTGACTATGCGTACATTACGATGTGGCGCCGGGTTATGAACAATAGAACAGATTTTTTGGACCGTTTTTATACTTTTGGTTATGCTTACAAAGCATCCAGGCTCAGGCACACGTGGCTTTCTGCTGAAGATGAATTGTAGGCATGCAATGAACAATCCGTAAACAGTAAATTGTTATCAGTGCTGAGTAAGTATGATTGCTATCACAATTACTTTAAGGAGCTTACAATTTTTTGTTAAGCTCGTTTTATAACTGCCTAAGACTACTGGAATCGGGAAAAACCTCCTTAGACAAAATTGTTCCACAATCGCGACAACCTAGGAACAAGGAAAGGAAGGTACCGACCAGTTCCGGATATACGGAGTTCGACAGTTATGGAGAGGAAGCGGAAGCCTGGCGAGTTAGCCCAATAGCCGCAACGCGCGACGGCATCATGGAGGAGAGTTCTTAGGAGCAAAATCCGTTGACATCGCGGTAGAAGAGATCTAGATCGCTGACAGCTCGTCGGCCCGGAAGGAACCCGGAATTGTCTATTAGAGAGCTCTCCATCGAGTACAGACAGTGTGGACGAGTCGGGAGCACACCAATCATTCGTTCAAAAATATTGAGATAGCAGTCTGTCTATTATGTGATACGCCTGTGTTTTATTATAACTTATCGGGCATTCTTCAATACTGTTTTATTTTATTGTTGTAACCAGCACTCGAGAGCAATTCCATAGGGACACCTACTTACTAGTTTATTTCTTGTATCAACAGCTGAATGTTTACACTTTATACTTAGTCTATCCAAAACGGGCGCTTTATAAAAAATTAAAATGTAACCAGACTGACTTTTATTTGTTTTATGTCATAAGTATTTTGACTGGACTAGAACTAACTGCACTCCGTAAAATTGAACTTTTGTGACGATAAAGATCAGAAAGTAGATTCGCGAATTACGTATTAGCCTATCCGAGAATGTACTCTAGATATTACACACAAAATAAACTTACCAACTTTGTGACATCCAGGTGCATGCCATCCCGCTTGCGAGTTGTCGGAGTCAACTGAAAATGCACTCGAGAACGATACAGCAACAAACAAAAACCAAAAAGCCAGCATCCTGGAAGAAAAGAAAAGCCATTAACTTGCGAGCTTTATCCTTATATTGCTTTTCTATTAGATAAGACAAACAGTACTTGAAGACAAAAAGCAGATATATCACATGGTGCAGTTATGAGACAAACTAATTAATTTTTCAAAGAATCTATAGTGAAAAGGCAAAAACGATGACCCCGTTGAAGAAAGATGGCGTCAAGTGGGTTAACTCTGCACTTCATACGCAACGCGGTCATAACTTCATAAAGGGTTAGGTTCAGCGTAATTTCAGTCCTTTGAGAAAAAAGTATGTTAGGAATATGTATAAAGGAAGTTAAACGGACCAAGTCCCTGCCCTACCGGTAGTTACTGGGGCCGTTGTCCCTTTCTACAGCTGCGCGGCAGCGCCCACCGCGGCACCGCTGCAGCGAGTTATCGTTCATTTCATGTGCGCTACAGTACGGATAGATTACAGCCAGACCGGTACGTCGAGCAGTGAGCTTAGATAGTACGAATACCCTGATCGAGAACATTTTTCTATCATTCTAAGCTTTGAAGCCAACTGAACGGGGAAATATACGGTGACTAATAGGTTCATGGAATTACCAGGCTTGAGAGGGTAGGAAGAAACTAGATTTCATATACTGTCCCCCCAAATCCCAACCCCCAAACCAACCCAACCTATACATTTTCCTGAAAATTATCAGGAACCTCTGTAACGTCAAAAAAAAACGAAGTTTGAGGAATTTTTATTCTTTCCACGTTCTTGCCCCTAGCACCACTGACACCGCCGACACCGGAAACTACAAAGCGACTTCGTCTTTGGCATTGCGTGAAAATTTCATCAAAATCCGACCGGTGATTACTAAGTTATAGGCGGTCCAAGGATTAGCGAACAGACAGATCAAAATACATACAGACTAGTGGAAATGAGTGACGTGATTTTCCGTGATGTACATGTCGTATAACATCCAAAAACCAAAAATTATCATTTTCGAAATTTTTCGCGATTACAATACGTACTTCCTCGTAGGAAGTACGTTTACTCATACATTAGATTTTTTTATAATCAGGCTCACGCTAAAAGTGGATCGACTTTGCTTAAAGGAAAATAATCAGTCACCAATTCTCATCAAGAGACTTGAAATTTTCGAAGAAAGGGTATCTTCAATTTGATTTTCAAAGTAGACTTTTAAAGCATCTCCGGAAAGGTTCCACATACAAGTCGTTTTAATTTAGTTTCTATAGCAATTGAAAAAATACCTAAGTAACCACTGATGACCATTATAGAATGGAAGCTGCCTCCTAAGGTTGAAACAACCTGTACTATATATTGTTTTTAAACAATACGTCATTATCTATAGAGCTGAGACTGTTGCATCGTGTACAAACATAAAAAAATATTAGAGACTCGTTCCTTCACTAACGTTGAATGACTACGGTGTTAAGCTGGACGCTTAATCGTTGTATTTAACAAATATGATGTTACTCTTTGTAAATATTAGATCTTTATACTTATACTGGGTGTCCCAGAAATAAAACGCCAGAGTGACACTGGAGATAGGTTGGCTTCAGATCAATCAGATAAAATCAACATGGCCTTAGTAGAGGTTTTCAGTTTTCGAGATATTTCCACTTTTAAGGTTTTTCAAAAAAGCTTTGCTCCTTTCATGCCTGTTATGGCTATAAAGAACTTCTAACTTATTTTTTTTTTGGGGCTTCCATTAATACTTGGTTGAGACAGCAACAAGAGTATTTATTTAATTGAAAACTAGCACGATATGCTAAAAAACAAATTATTGCATTTGGTTTCAATACGAAAACCTGTATTAAAGTCTTACTAGTTACTGTAAAAAATGTATTAGACTGAATCAGCAAATGATTAAAAAAATTAACTATTGAATGATCTTTCCAAAATAGTATAACATTAGTATGTTCTTTTTACTAAAAACTGAATAATTCCAGGTTTTGTCATTGAAGTCGTAATACTTGCGAAATGCTACAAATAAAAAATAATAAATGCAGCCGTCTTTTAAATCCAAATTACAACTTTGTAGTTGCTGTAATCGTGGTACGCAGGTACCACCTGAATGTTGTAGAAATCAATGGATATAAAAAAAATACAACAAATAAGGTTCTATTCATTATTTTCGGGCCTGCATACAAAAATTAATAAAAAAGAATAATGAATAGCTGTTTTAGACATTTGCTAAAATAAAAAGTGATTACAGTAACTACGAAGTTGTAATTTGGACACAAAATATGTTTTATTTTTAGTATTTCGCAAGTACTACGACTTTAATGTCAAAACTTGGAATTATTCAGATTTGAGTAAAAAGAACCAATTCTTGAAATAGCATTGAATAGCTAATTTTTAAGGTAATTTGCTGATTAAGTCTGATACATCTTTTTTATGGTAATTGGTTAAACCTTACTAAAGGTTTTCACATTGAAACCAAATGTAATAATTTAGTTTTTTTAGTATACCGTGCTAGTTTCAAAGAAATGAATACTTGGTTGTCTCAACCAACAATTAATGGTAGGCTAGGAAAAAAACATCATAAGTTAGAAGTTTTTTATAGTCATAACAGGCAAGAAAGTAGCAAAAAGTAGTGATTTTTTGAAAAAACTTAAAAGTGGCAATATCTCGAAAACTAGAAAACATTTACTAAGGTCATGCTTATTTTATCTGATTGATTTGAAGCCAATCCACCTCCCGTGTCACTCTTGCGTGTTATTTCTGGGACACCCTGTATATACGTTTGTATCAATAAGTAGAATGTTGCACTTTGGTTCTGTAAGATTTACTCAAAGCCCTCAAAGTATACAGCAATTTGGACATATACGAGTATGCAAAGGGCATACATAGTTACAGATTTTTTTTTAGGGAAAATTAAGAAAACGAGAATCACCCACCTATTCGCTCATTCTGGATGGAGGAGTTTTCCCAATGTCGATCGCTTCCGACTTAAAGAACATTGTTTCAAAAAGTACAATAAATTATTTATTTTGTTGGGCAAAAATATAAATGACATTGTAATTATTGTATAGAGAACGACTGCTAAAGACCTTTTACGACTGGAGTGAACGGAAAAAATCTAGAAAGTGATCACGTGGTCATTATTCATAGGAGACCTCCAGAAAGAAGGTTCAAGAAAAAATAGCTATACTGGTAGGGCATTCACATTCTCAAAAATAACGTGTTTAGTTATACTAGTCCAGATGAATTACGACTGAAACGCTCCGTCTAAGTATGCAACAAGAATATCGATATGCACCAGTCTGGCGAGAGACGGAAATGAGAAAAAATCCAAAAACCACAATGTTGGCCGTCTTTTTCTGACATTTTAACTTGATAGTCGGAGCTGCTTCTAATTTCTGGTCTGCGTTTCTTATTGCGTAGTTATAACAAACTGGAAATTGTAGTTAGATCGCTCCGAGGATCCCTCTGATGAATTTAAAAAAAAATGATTGCACGGTTTGTCGATATTTTACAAAGTTTCGTGTTTTGGAACAAATTCATCCAATGCACCGCCGTTTTCTTATCAGATCCTTAGGGTCCATGTCATCAACTTTGTTATCAAAAAGTATACATGCATGAGAAATCTTTTGCACCCAGACCAAAACTTTTGGAACAACACTATCCATGGTGCACTCTATTGAAAACATTAAACTCTGAACTAAGCTAAGCTTCCCTGGACAGTATAGTAGGTCAGGTCGGTTCTAACTACAATGCTACTTTTTGTACCTTACAAGAAATGTCTTAAAACAGTCGTTTAAGATTGGTAAGTTCTCCAATATGAACGCCTATTAGGAAATGTCTCCACCTTGTCACAGAGTAATAGTAGGTATAAATAAATGAAAATCAGTTGGTTTGTTCGCCTTCATGTATTAGTAGCCAGTTCAGTATTAAAAAATGCTTTACCTTGGAGGGAAAGCTGAAATTCTATGCTTCTGTAGTAATTGCAACGCACAATACATTACAACTGACAGACGTTACTGATTGCCCATTGTTTTAACATTGATTTCTTGGACCTTGGACAAGGATATTGCGAAAAAAATGAGAATATATTTTTGTGCTCTAAAAATATGAGTACGTACTGTTCGACTTAGGTTGTATACATCGGACATACATGATTCTTGATGTTTCCGAATAACGTTTGGTTATTCCATGACACGTCAATATTATTAGAAACAGTCCGTTTTGAGAAAGAGAACAGAATATGTACCTATATGTAGGATCTCAATACCACCATCTCCCGTGCGTGGGAAATAAAAGTCGATTCGGATAACTGTTCCGACGGTTTCTATAGACTTATCTGAATGCAAAATCAACAAAAAATGTTACTAAAGATTATTATGCCTCAGAAAAATGTTTAATCTTGGTAGAAGACCAAACTTATAAAAATAATACAAGCTTTCAAATGAGTTGAAAAACTTGCAAAGATAAAGCTTATAGTTTTTTATAGGTAGTCTCTCCCGGAAAACTTTGTTGACTACACCCAAAATGATCAGAAAGACATGCAGCATTGAGAAACGGCGTTTGAGGACGAACCAAATTTCGGATGGGTGCGTGAGCGGTAAAGTCAAGAGAGTTTTTAGACATTAAAAAAATAAGATGAGACAGCATATAAACAATATTACAGCAATAAACGATTAGTTGACTCTAAGTACCAGCAGTGAATTTTTGTAACAACAAACTTGCATTTCAGCTTTTGCCCGAAAATTAACCAATGCGGTTATTTTAAGGCTGCCCATCCCTTTTTTCAACTACCTGTTTAGCGGATTCTTAATACTTTTCATCTGAATATTTCATGGTATGTACAGAGATGGCTAAAAAATACTGCTGTCATTTTACTCCGTCAAAAAATGCATTTTTTACTTTATATTCATGTATAAATATAAAGTTGAAAACTGTGACTTAATGGGAACTGATACAGTTAGGGATTTAGATACAAAATAATTTTTAAAACGCCCCCTAGAATAATTCCTTGTGAATCGTATAAAATATTGGGAAGTATTTTTAGATCTACTAAGCATCTCTCTGTATAAGTTTTTCGAATGTTCTACTACTCTTTGATGCGCAGTATTGGGGAGTATGTACAACACAGTGATATGATCGCCAAATTTAATGGAAATTTTTGACTTGTGGTTTTTGTTTAAAACAGTGAATGATGTCTTAGATTGCCCAGAGCTGCTTGCACGAATGAGTCTTAACGTTAATGGAAGACGAACTCGCAACACAAAACTGTTTACCAATTATGGTAAGCTACAATATAGATATTTTCAGCACCAATATCAAGCACATCAAAAAGCACATCGAAAGTGTTCCCATTTGACTTCAGTTTGTTAAGTTTTGAATATAAGTAGGTTGAGTATCACAAAAATCTTAAGTTCTTCTTTAATTTAATTATTTATATATCGCTAATGTAATCTGTCACATAAACGTAATGTTTTTTTTTGTATGTAACGGGAAACCGAAAATAGGTAAATGAAAAGATAAATAAATAGATGAATAAATAGACTGCTGGAAAAAGGAATGTGCAACGTTAACTGCTTCCAGACTGAGGAACAGGTTAATAAATGCCGCCCATATATTTCTTGGTCTGGTAAGCATCAACCAAGTCCTACCTTGAGTAAGTCAATCGAACCATGGCGCCTAAAATTTTTCCGTCTGTACACAACCGCTTCGCTTAAGCAATGACCACATCCGCGAGACTCATCACCAGTCACAAGTCCGCGCAAAACTTCGACAAACTTCTGCAACTCCGCGAGTGCGTGTAGAATGAGAGGAACTCACCTGGCTTGGAGTGTGCTAGTGCGCCCTAGATGTTGTAAGTTGGACAGCGCAACTTCAAATGGAGGGGCGAGACCGAGAACGAATTATTTTCTGGCGGCATTTTTATCCCCACCTTGGGCAGATACACCCCCGTAATGAGTGGAAATCTGGTATGGTTTTTGCGTGGGAGCCAAACTAGCAGGCGCCCTTCCGTTAACCATCCAGAATGGTGGGCTATGATTGCTTTTTGATATTAATTTGTGCTGGCAATCTGAATTTTACTTCCCACGCATGATCGAACTAAAGCTTATGCAATTTTGCCATTTGATGTAAGTTCATCATCAATTACGCTATGAGCTTCCAATCTGCGCATATAGTTGAAACTCATATCAAGCAGCTTGTCTCTATACCTCCCATGCCTTCGAAACAACCTCCACTACAATTTTCGATGTATTTCAATGACAAGACGTATGATTCATAAGAACCATTAGTGCACTATTTAGGCTTTTTATAACAATGATTTTTCTCAGATTTTAGAAATGAGCGTGTGCGTACACGGCCTCATTCCTTCGGAGGTCTGGTGTCTGGCGGTTTTTTTTATACTCCAGCCACCACGAAGGCCTGGGGTACCGTGGGGCTATAGGGGGTACAGGGGAAAGGGGGAACGCCACACGGACTCTGGCGAGGGAACACATGTGCATGCAACGTGCACACATTCTGGCCCCGCCTACGAGATCCGCCGGGTGGTACCTCCGCGTTCGACAGTCAGAGACCGTCTAGAGTTCGAACACTCTTATAATATGACCGCTACGTCATCGTGGGCGGGTCCTCTCATCACGCGGTCATCGACAGAGCGCAGTGGCGTTCTATTTTATTTGAAATATAAAATAAAGTGAATAGGTCGTGTAGACATTGATCATTAATTGATTTTTGTATTATTATATTCATTTAGTATGCGCATTAAGTTGTTCGGAAGCAAATTTGAATTAGAAGAGGGAGCAAACTAAATACGGTTATAATTCAAATCATATATTATCATTAAAAAATCTAATCGCTATTAGATGATAGTGTGTTTAGCTCCAAATCTTCATCTGAGTCGCTTTCGTCACTATCTTCTGATGATGACCCTGTGTTCACAGTGAATTGATACTTATCCATTTGATCGTCGAGAAGATGTTCTTTTTCCATTTGTGCTTGCTCATATTTTTTCACGTGGTTACAAATTTTCTTCCACTCATCTGCTCCAATTTCTTCAAACCTGCTACGGGTCAGATGCTCCACATCAGACAACCTAAATGTCACATTTCGTGGAGCAACCCAGTTTTTTACGAGAGCCCAAATCTTCTCGATTAGGTTTAGCTCCGGATGATATGGAGGCAGTCGTAAAACTTTATGCCCGTGCTGTTCCATTAAGGCATCTAGCTTGTATTTGACTGGAAATCTTCTTTTATTTTCCTGTATTTTTTTATATAGTTCGGCCTTAGTCAATGAGTTTTCACTAGGAATTTGATGTTTTTCTAGCCAGTCAATCATCTCTGATTTCAGGCTAGAAGAGGTTACATTTTTTTCTTCCAGGACATTGTGATAAGAAGCGTTGTCAACTACAAGCACAGCATTTTCAGGCAAATTTGGGATCAACTGGCTTTCTACCCATTTCATGAAGTTCAAATGATTCATGTCCTTGTGGTAGTCCCCAGGTTTTGAGCCTGAAAATAAAATACGTACATATATTCCAGTAAATGTAAAAATATATTGGAAATATTTTACATCATTGTAACACAAATAATACCTGATTTAAATATCAACAAAGCGTTAGGAATAAAGCCGAATTCTCCACCAGCATGCACAATAATCATTCGTTGTCCTTTTGATAAAGGCATTTTTAGTTCCTTGTCATAATTGTCATCTGACCATCCTTTTTTTGGGGTATGACTAGAATGTATATATGTTTCATTCGTATCAATTATGTTTCTGTTCTCAGGTCTATATTTCATAATTTGCTTCAGATATTCGATACGCTTCAAGCGAATTTCATATTTTTCCATGAGAGCTTTTTTATTATCAGTAGTTCTTTTCCATCTGTAGATATAAATTATATTTATAGCGTTGTAAATCGAAAACCTTATAGTGTGTATGAATACTGACCTAAAGCACATTTGTTTCAAAAGTTTGTTCAGAGTCGTTATTTTACCCTCAAAATTGAGTTGTCGATCTTGCATTTTTTGGTAAATACCTAAAAAATCTTAAAATGACATATGACTAGATGCTACGGTTATAATTTAAAAAATTACATTTCAGCGAAGGTCTTCTTTTCTCCAAAATATAAAAATCGTATATGATTGCTTTTATTTCTTCAATTTGGCCTGCAGTCACTTTATCCACAACAGGTGATTTTCGTTGCCGCTTTTTAGATGGGGATGAAAATCAAAAGTTGCTTGAATATATTCCATCTCTGCTCTCTTTGGCTATTTTTTGATAAGTACATTTACTTATACCCGTGGCAGCTAACACACGTTTCCTAAGGCCCGTATCGTCAGTCGTCCCTACAATTGTAGGGCGCGTTTATGGCCTCCTTGATTGTCATACTCATTTCTCTTCTTCAAAAATTTCTAGATTACACTTGTCCCGAGTCAGCGTCAGCACTTTCCTATTGTGAAGATATGTTTTCTTTTTAAATTGTAGGAAATTTCAGGCTGATAAAACATTATATATATCAAAAGCAAGCACAATTTGATGCAAATAGATGTTTGTGACATAACCTCAAAATAGAGTTTTGACACGGAGAAGTAGGAAACTATGACAATCAAGGAGGCCATAAAGGCGCCCTACAATTGAAGGGGTGACTGACGATACGGGCCTTAATGGGTGAATCAGTTTTAATTGACAATAATTATAAAAATCTTTTACATTCATACATACCGGTATTGTTGAAGTGGAAACTTTAATCCCTCTACACTTTCCTGTACCATGAAGTTATTGACATTGTTGATAATTTCCTTTCCTTGACTCCCAATCGCCTTTCGTTTCACGCCAATCTCTTTCACAGACATTGTTTAGATCACTGGTTCAAAACTATTAATAATTTAAATTTGAACAATACTAAAAATTTCCACTATATTGCAATCTATTTGACAATTTTTACACACGGTGCCTTGTTCAAATTAGTTTACAAACTGAACTTATGACTAACGGACAGGTTTATATATCTATTGCAGGTAAAATAAATGTGATTAAAACACTCATCGTCTTAACGCTACTTACGAACGAAGGGATTTAGCAACCAGGAATTATTCCAGGTAGTTCAATTGTACACTTGTTATTATTAGATTTGTTTCTACTAATTTTGTTTACCTGCGTTTGATATTGGCCTATTTATCTAGGTACTAATGATGCACTCTAGGAAATCTCATGATTGGTATGATATAAGCGGATCACAGTCTTAGGATTAATTTAATTACTTTCAGTTGTTTGCCAACTTTGGGGTTTTACCCTTCAATATGTGTCTATTATATTATGTAGGTACCTGCTCACTATTTTATATTTTGATTTATGGATCTCCATCAAATATCCACAAACCCCATAAGATTAATAATTTTCAACATAATCAAATATAAATTATGATATAATTTCTGGACATTAAAGACCACATACATTTTTAAGCTTTCTACGATATAAATATTCGCCACGATTAGAACTAGACCACATTAAGAGGGCGGTAACAGATGTCCATAAATCTTACCAGATACTGTCACAACAATTTCCTATATTCTTATAGGGTACAATCGACGCAAGGGAGATGGTATAAAGTGATGACGTAGCGGCCATAACCTTAGGCTGTTCGAACTCTACCACCTACGGACAATCATAACATCCATAGCCAAGAGAAAAATTTCTCCTGGGGCGGGATTCGAACCCGCACAGCGCACGGCGACTGATCAGGAGACAGAAGAGTCTACTACTGCGGCCACCGCTGCTGCCTAGCCTAGCATTTTTCCATTGGCAAATTATACCTGCCTCACTTGACGACAGCATGCGCTTGAGAGTACTTGGGGCACCTAAATGCCTCTTTCGATATCTAAGACCATTTCTCCTCAATTTCAACGATATGGTATATGTTTATCAACATTGCTTGATAACGATTACAGCACCCCTTGATGTACTTATATACTACATATACTATATACGTATAATAATGAATATGTCTGATAAGTGAGTAGAATTACCGGGGCTGGAAGTGTATTAATATCCTGACATCGAAAAGTTACGATTCATCCTCCACATTTTTATTTTTTCATGTTTGTCATTTTTATCCGCTGGCATAGTAGTAACCTTGTGTAAAAAATTTCCAAATTATAGACAGACTAACAATTATTAGCGAACAGGCCGACAAACTGACAGTCTGTCAGAATGACAGCCAGACAGACTTACAGGCAGGCAGAACGACAGAGAGGCAGACGGATGGGAATGATTGAAATGTTTTTTCGTGATGTACGTGTCATATATCATCCAAAAAACATGATACTTGACTCTTTTGAAATTTTTGCGCAATTTCAATTCTTCCTCGCTAGTGGCCGTGGGAAGTAAAATGGTAATTCTGCCAAGGTTACAGTCCAGAATCCATTTTCATACGCATACTACAGCATACCTAGGTACAGCGATTACACCAAGAAACTTAATGTAATCTTGCTGATCCAATCTTCTACATGCATGTTAACGAATATGTGCATACAAGGTTTGGTACGAAGGAGGTGACAGGTGCGCTTGACCGTTTTGTGGTTGAAGCGGAAAACATCTAAAATTTTCCATCTAAATCTCTTTTATGAGGAAAATAATTCTGCTGGATTTGCTACCCATGTGATGCTAATTAAATTTTCTGGTTGCACCAACTCGACTTCAAACGATCTAAAGGGTTGAAAAGGCTTATGAGTTGTGTACTTAGGCCTTACACAGCGAGACCCAGAAATTAACTTTCTTCAGATAAGTAGATAGTTTATTTTCTTATGAGCTAGTTACATCAGAAATGACTCAAACGAATTTTCATTGCAAGTCGTTTCAAACTTCACCTTCATTTTGCCCTTACTATCGTTTAAATTCGGAGAAATATTTCTTGCGAGGAGGAGTCTTTCGAGAGGCGCCATGTACAATGACGATGTGATAAAGCTTTTATCATTCAATTCAATTCAATTCTTTAGTTGTGTTAAGTACACCAGTGTGTTTACACAAGTCAAAAAAAAATTAATACAAAAAGCAGCCTGACAAAAGACTGATGTTCAAATTAGACAGAAAACATCAACTTACGACATTATGATTCAATAAAAGCAGATACAGCAAGTCCATATCAGTTGTAAAAACAGGAGGACATATATACGTACATAGATACACGCATATGCATTTAACCACAATATGTTTACTTCTACACACACACATATACATATATACACATATACACATATATACGTTAAAATGGTAAGACATATGAAATGTTGATATAAAAATTTACCAGATGATTTAGTAGAAAAATCAAGGAGCCTAGAGGATCCCAGGTGTAGGAACACTGTTATATTTGCTAACAATCCGACAAATCTGAAAAATTATTGCTCAAATACTCGTTGATCGAGTAAAATGCTTTAGTAGTCAGATGACCATTAATTTTATTTTTAAAAACTATAGCATCCAGTTTCTTTATACAGTCTGGCAACAGGTTATAAAAAACTATCCCATAATAGTTTGTGCCCTTCCTGATGGTTTGGTGACGTCTATGAGCTACTAAGATTGTATCCATATTTCTGGTTCTATAACTGTGGACATCACTGTGGATAATATATTGGCTCAGGTTAGTCTTTATATACATCAGACATGTGAAGATGTAAAGAGAAGGTACTGTCATGATTTTCAATTCTATAAAAGCTTCCTTGCAAGGTTCCGTGTATTTGAGGCCAGCAATGTACCGCAAGCAACGTCGTTGTAATCCAAAAACTTTTGACGAATGGGCCGAGTGACCCCAGTTTAACAATGCGTATGAAATTCTTGATTGAAAGTAGGAATAATATGTTAGAAGAAGAACTGACCAAGAGACATTTTGTTTCAAGTTCCTTATCAAATATATATATTTTGCTAGTGCATCGAGACCATGGATTACGTGAGTTTCCCACGACAAGTGTTCATCAAGGTAGACTCCTAGTAACTTCACGGACTTTAGTGTATTAGTGTCGTGCTGCCTCAAGCTAAGAATAATCAGTCTGAGACTTGGTTTCATTGATGGTCAACTTATTAGCGGTTAACCAGTTTGCTGGTTTTCTTTTATGTGCTTCAGAGTCTAATATCAATGAGGCTAAAGAGGCATTGCTATTCATCAAGGTAGTGTCATCAGCGAATAGGATTAAGTTATTATTCACATTATAGTTAGTCATATCATTGACGTAAATTAAAAATAAAATAGGTCTCAATACCGAGCCTTGCGTTACCGCGTGAGCAGCGACTAACTGTGAGGATGATGAACCTTTAAAGAATACAAATTGGCGTCGATTACTCAAGTAAGAGTTAATCATTGCAGTGGATGCTTCATGAAAGTTATAAAAAGGGAGCTTTCCCAACAGGATGTCCTGTTGAACACAATCAAAAGCTTTGGACAAGTCCAACAAACATGCTGCGCCAAATAGGTTGTTTTCAAAAGTCTCGTTCACAAACTGAATAAAACTGTGAATAGCTGATGTGGTGGAACTATTTTTCCTAAAACCAAACTGTGTTGAGCAAAATAAATTATTAGCCTCAAAGTATTCATTAATTTGATCTTTCAACGGTAATTCCAAAATTTTTGCAAAAATAGGTATTAAGGAAATGGGCCTGTAATTGCATAACTCTTCAGTATGCCCTTGTTTGAAAATGGGTATAATTTTAGATAGTTTGAAAAAATCCGGAAAAGTATTACTTTCTATACACTGATTGAATAACTTGGTTAGAGGATATATGATGAGATTTTGCAAGGTTTTGACAATCCTGACAGAAAAGCCATATGGGTCAGTACTCTTTGAGTTTTCTAGTTTATTTATGGCAGTTCTCACATCATAATATGAAACTTCCCTGAATCGAAAGTGTGAACTATGAGTAGGATGATTCATATAATGCGATGGAGAAACATCGGATGGGGTAATTTTATTTAAAAGTTTTTGTGGGATATGGGTAAAAAAGTCGTTGAATTGATGTGCTGTGAGAGATGTTGAGGAGTCCCGGTTTTCTTTATGATATTCCAAGCAGCATGTTGTCTGTTGTTGGATTTATTAATGTAGTCATCATTGGCTTTAATCTTAGCTTTGACAATTTCTTGCAGGAACTGTATTTAAATTGTTTCAAGCAGTCCGTACTAACTAAAGTAACATCGTCTTTATGAAGCTCTGTTATCAAAGTCAAAGTCTCTCTCATATTTCTTATATGATCATTGAACCAATACACATTACAGGAGCTTTTATTATCATTAACAAGTCGCGATTTTATAGGAAGGTGTTGATTGACCGAAATTCTGAAAATAGATATGAATTTTTCAATTTTATATTCGATTGTCGCACTTTTTTCATTAACAAATTCGAAAGATGTTGATTCCATATCATTGTAAAGTTTGAAAAGGCCGCTGTTTGTTATAGGTCTATAATAGAGTTTCCTACGTACTTTCGGTATATGTGATAAAAGTATAGTCAAGCGCTAAATGATCTGAATAATGAGTATCAATTTATTTAGAGGTAAGCATGTAACTAAGTTGTGCTCAACCTATATGTCCCAATCTTTGGGACAAAATGACAACCTTTATAGAAAGTATAGTCTGCATATTATACAGGGTTTTTACAAAAGAATCATCGGGTTTTAAAAATTTATATTTCAGAGAGCATTGCAAATATAATATCAAATGACATATCACTAGAAAAGGAAAATGTTCGAGTTTAAAGCACGTGCTTTCGAACGCCGCTTTACCTCCCTAGGTAGCGCCACGAGCTCAGTATACAAAATGGCGACTATGCAGCAGAAAGCGTTTTGTGTGTTAGAGTATGCGCGATGTTTATCGGTTGTTACAGTGCAACGTGCATTCCGACGGCGGTATGGAACTGATTCTCCAGGTCATCAGAGCATTCTACGATGGTATCGACAATTCAAGAAGACAGGTTCCATTACTAAACGTAAAAGTACCGGAAGACCATGAGTTCCTGACGAAATGGTGGACGCAGTTAGACACAGTTTCACGCGTACTCCGCGAAAGTCCACTAGCAGAGCAGGAAGTGAACTTGGTATTCCCCAGCCAACCGTATGGAAAATTTTGCGGAAACGGTTGCGATTCAAACCGTACCGTCTACAGATGCTACAAAGCTTACGACCTGACGACCACGTAAAGCGACTTGATTTTTCTTCCAACATGCAGGAGGCAATGGAAGACGACTAATTTGCTAACTGTCTGGTATTCAGTGACGAAGCGATATTTCATTTAAGTGGAAGGGTGAACCGTCATAACATTCGGATATGGGGCACGGAAAATCCTCATATGATTGTGCAACATGAAAGGGATTCTCCAAAATTGAATGTCTTCCGTGCAATATCTAAAAATAAAGTGTAAAGGGCCTTTTTTCTTTCATGAAAACACTGTGAACGGTTCATCCTACCTAAATATGTTGCATTTGTGGTTATTTCCGCAACTAACAGAAGATTCTAACAACTTCATATTCCAACAAGATGGAGCTTTGCCTTACTGGCATCATGAGGTGCGTCGGTATTTAAACGAGGCACTGCCTCACCGTTGGATTGGCCGAGGTACTGCACATTTGGTATTCTTCGCGTGGCCTCCCAGGTCTCCCGACCTTACACCATGTGATTTTTACCTTTGGGGTTACATTAAAGATATGGTTTACATACCAGCTCTGCCAGCAACATTGGGTCAACTCCGGGAACGCATTACTACTGTTATTAACAATATCGATCGAGACACATTGCAGCGTGTATGGGCCGAACTGGACTATCGTTTGGACATAAATGTCGTGTGACGCAAGGAGGCCACATCGAACATTTGTAATAACATGCTTAAAATCTTGAATATTTTACCTTTCCATTGACATCATGTCACTTACTGTTATATCTGAAATACCTTCAGAAATCTATATTTGTAAAACCCGATGATTGTTTTGTAATAACCCTGTATTTTTGATATTTCATTTCCACTATTTTACCCATTTAAGCTGGACTCAGTAAATGTGTTTCAACACCTAAATACGTTTTTGACAAAGGATAAGACCCTTTAGCTAAGAGCATAGCTTCTGATTGAAATGAAGGCCAAAGAAGGCTTTAAAGAACCGTTTTCAGAAAACTAAGGTGACACAATAAAGATCTGACGAGTTCAGGCAGGATTTTGGTAATATCAGATCATCTAAGGTAAAGCACAAATAATATTCAACCAGGTACCTTAATGGTATCTGGCCGCTCAAGTCAAGGCACTAAATCCGAGGAGCTGAGGCAATATCTTATCTAACCAAGGCAACGTCAACCAGTTACGGTAAACTAACGGCAATAGCATATTGTCTGCATCATCAAGAATGTTCATTGACTTATTTGATTGATAATGTGTGCCTTGTTGATGCTGTACATATCCGACACATCAAAGAACACTATCGTCATCTGCATCTCTGTAGTTGTAGGAAACGATTCACATGTGAAACAGTAACCTTGAATAGGATATTCTTTATTGTCATCTCCGTCTCCTTTGATAAGTATGTAAGCTATCCACAGCTGACAGCATTCAGACATCTAGAGTCAATTTACTACAAAGCTGGTTGCCTCAGGGGTCTTTCTTTAAAAACTTATTTTGTCCAGCTTTTTCATTATTGATATAATTGATTAGTTTGTTGTCCTTTTGATAAGATTGCCTCTTCACTTCAGGTATTGAAACAAATAGATCAATCGCAACTTAAATAGGCGCCATAATCCTAGGGGAATTAGATGTCTTAATAAGCAGCCCACCCTTTTTTATACGGATTGACTTTTTATTCCAAAGTTTGGGGCACATAGGTTGAACAAGTCGGACAGTTAGACAGAAAGATACGCGTAGGTATCTAGTTTATTGTCCTATTAGAATATGTTACATGATATAAGACAATATGAAACGGTCATATATGCGTTTGAGCAAATATTTCGGAAAAATACGTATGAATATAAAATAAATAAGGACATCACAAAAAAGAGTAAAACATTTCATCAAGTTAAACCTTAATACCGGGTGCGCCATCTTTTATGTCGGTATGTAAGCATGAAATAACTCTAAAAACAAAAAAACTGATGTCTATATGTATATCGGGTATTTTTATTAAATATGGTCCTCTACAATTTATTGGGACTAGTTTTTGAACACAACATCTATCAAGTGACCACCTTTATTGGCCCGTTTTGCTGCGTTTTCCATTTACTTTTTCGAGCATCTCTGCTGGTATAGCGGCGATTGCGGTACGAATCTTTACCTTGAGTTCTTCAGTGGTCCGGGGCTTTCTGGCGTACACTTGAGTTTTCAAATAACCCCACAAGAAGAAGTCCGGTGGGGTCAAATCTGGAGACCTGGGTCAATATCACCTCGTTTTGACATCAGACGTCCAGGGAATATTCGTTGTAGAAAATGGATTCAAGACCTTTTTCACACCTTTGTGGGCAGACATAATGAGCCAACATCCACCGATATCGATTTCCATCAACTGTTTCGTTTTCGTTGAAGAAAAATGGCCCAATGATGGTTTTGGCACAAACGCCGGCCCAAACAGTCTCTTTCCGGTCATGCAACGGCATTTCGTGGATCTCATGTGGATTTTCCGTCCCCCAAATGTGGCAGTTTAGCTTAT